AAAAAAAAAAAAAAAAAAAATCAAAGTAAAATATAAAGAAAAACAAAGAAATCATCCCTGGGTCCAACCCTCACTTTTTGGGGGTGGGTACCAGGGATCAAACTTGGGCCCTTGCCCTTTGAGGCAGGAAGAGCTGGAACAACTGAGCTAAATCCCCAGCCTTCCAACCCTCACTTTTGAGCCCAGGAGGAAAGGAAGAATATTTTCATTCTTCCCAAGAGATGTGACTTTTTATTTTATTTTATTAATATGTGTCTGCAGTTCATGTAAGTTAGTCATCTTGGGGAATGATTAGAGATTTGACTTTTGAATTGGTGTGCCGCAGTCATTTTGTGATGGCCCTTAGGATAGTTGGTAATGTTCAAGCATGGTGGGAAACACCTGTAATCCCAGCACTCAAGGGGCTGAGGCAGGAGGATGGACACAAGTTCAAGGCCAGCCTGAGCTACACACCAAGAACCCATCTCTAAAGGCGAGGGGGAGTCAGTACCTTGGTATGTTGCAGCAATGGCCACATTCTGCAGAGCATTGTGCTCCCGGGGAGTTCTGACAGGCCTGTCCTGATTAGTCGCAATCTTTGCACTTTTATGCCTTTTCCCAGAGGGCATTTGGTTCCTCTCTTGGCATTCAGAAGTAAGGCAAGGCACTGGGTAAGTTCTCAGTCTTAAGGCGATGCAGGGGACATAACTCTTTCTGCCTCAGGAGATTGCCTGTAGAGATGGCACAGACTTTGAAATAGGGTTGATTTTTGTTAGCCTTGGATTGTTCTCAGCTATTCTTTCTAAATAGACAAAACAACCTTCCAAAGGTATACTTTCCCCTTTTTTTTTTTTTTGGTACCAGGCGTTGAATCCCTGTCCCCGCACTTCTGAGGCAGGCACCAGAACCACCTAGCTAAATCGCTGGCCCTATTTCTTGTCTATGATGAGTTCATCTTCGGGGAGGGCAGGGTCTTGCTATGTAGTTCACGCACTATGTAGCATAGGCTAGCCTCAAATTCGAGGCAATCCTCCTGCCTCTGCCTCCCGAGTGCTGGGATTACAGGGGTGCACCACCAGCACACCTGGTTCTGATTTCATTTTAACGAATACTTATTGAGCTAGAGGAACCACTAGATGTCACTTTGACTTTATTTTCAGAGATACTCTAGTGACATTTTTCAATCTCTTAAATATTAAGTTTAGAAGTATTGTTTTTTAAAAAACAGTAAGTTGAAAACCACATATAAAAAGTTAGCGAAAGGCCAGGCATCGAGTGCAGTGGGACCACGCCTGCCTTGGAAGTGCTAGGCCCTGAGTTCAATCACTGGTACAAAAAAAAAAAAAAAAAAAAAAAAAAAAAAAAAAAAAAAAAAAAAATTGAGCAAAAATAGAAGATGAGGGTGTGGGGTGTGCTTAGGAATGTACAGGGCCCTGAGTTCCATCCCTGGTACGGTCCACCCGCTCAGAAAAGGGGAAAAAAGGTTAGCAAAAGCAAAAGATTGGGAAATATGTAAAATCAAAACCCATAAATGTGAATTCTGAAAACAGCAAATTAGTTTTTCCTCCTTATGTTAACCAAGAGCATGACGTGTGATTTCTAAAGAAGTCGGAGCAGTGACCAGGCAGAGGAGACCGCAGGGGCTGCTTGGTATGAGGAGCACCAGGATGGACACCGTCTTGTGTTCTGGAGCTGTGTTCACAGCAGCAGAGCCATGGGAGCTCAGTAACAGCAGGAATTTTCCTTACAGTGACAGAAAGCACAGCTGAGACCTGCACTGGGTATTATCATGAAGGGAAGAATCTGAGTAGTAGAGTAGAAGTAACTCTAAGTGGAGGGGAAGGAAGGAGGGAAGCAGCGGCAGAGAGAAAAAACAGGACCAGGTGCTGCATTCCAAAACTGAGCTAAGCCACCTTGCCTTTCTCTCAAGCAGGGAGGAACTGGGGGTTTTTGTTTTGTGTTGCTCAGGGCAGAATCCCAACTCCAGCTGCCTTAAGGGAAAAAAGAAATAGGTATTTATGGATTTACAGAACTGGTATTTGCAGGAGTGGGCTGGCTTCTGGCCTGGCTGCATCTATTTTCAGAGCTGCCCGAGACTCCCTCTTGGGTCAAACGATTTTCTTCGTAGTACTTAGACATTGTTCCATGACTCCATTTGTTTTTTCATAATGTATAGAGGAGTGTCCAAGTGGCTTTCTGATCTGTGATGCTGAGCAGATTACAGAAGCAGATAGTAGAATCCCATTGTCTTCTCCTAATATGATAAACAAGCTCACTCTTCCCAGTATCTTTTGTTGCAGAAAACATGCCTTTTCATAAAATATGTATTATTTGCAACTGGTGGTAGAGTATGTGCATATGTATGTATTAGTTATTTTATTTATTGGGAGGTTGAGACAAGGTCTTACTATGTAGCCCAGGCTGGCCTTGAACTCGAGAAGATCTTCCTGCCTCAGCCTCCCAAGTGCTGTCATGTGTGGCTTACATCGTTATTTTAAAATGTAGTGGAGGCCTCCCAGCACTTGGGAGGCTGAGGCAGGAGGATTGCCTTGAGTTTGAGGCCAGCCTGGGCTACATATCCAGACCCTGTCTCAAAAAATAAAGTGATGGATATATCACTATATTGAATTAACAAAAATGTATTAAAAATTTTTGTTTTAATTTTCTAATGGGATTATAATAAATTTAATGCATATAATAAAGACTTTTGGAATCTTGATAATTTTAAGAATGAGAAGGGCTTTAAATTCTAGTTACAGGTCCTAACAGATGTTCTGAGTCGACCATGCTGGCCCAGAAGAAAGTCAGCTTTTTGCTCCAAATGATGCGACAGATTCACCTTAACCAGTAATCCCATCTCTAAGTCTGGAGATTTCAACTTCACATCCTATGCCTCCTGCAGAGTGCCTCTGGCCAGGTCATTGCTCCTCTGGTGCCTCTGGGTCCTCACCTCTGAAAGCAGGTGTGGGGTGCTGTCCCCAACACCTGTGATGTTCTTCCAGTGTAAACCCAGAAGATGGGGGAAAGGTATCCCAACCCTCGTCTGTCAGTTGTACTGAGTATCTACAAAATGAAGTTTATCTAATTGTGTTTTCAGATCACATATCAATTTTCATTAATTATTTGTTTCTTAAATATTTTGATAAAATCAGGCACGTGTCACACACCTGCAATCCCAGCTATTTTGGACCACCACCCAGGAAGATCACAAGTTTAAGGCCAGCCTGGGAAATTTAAAAACCTGTCTCAAAACTTGTTTTGGGGGCTGGGGATTTAGCTCAGTGGTTCTGCTGACTACCTTGCAAGGGTAAGGTCCTGATTTCAATCCCTGATACCAAAAAAAAAAAAAAAAGAGAGAGAGAGAATTTTGGGTTAGGATAAGGACCCAAGTTTGATCCCTGGTACCAAAAAAATCTTGTTTTTCTTTTTTCTGAGACAGGGTCTTGCTATTTAGTCCAGGCTGGCCTTAATCTCCTAGATAGCCCAGGCTGACCTTGAATTCCATCTTCCTGCTTTGCCCTCCCTAGTGCTAGGATTACAGGTGTGCACTTGCCACCTCGCCTGGCTCCAAATGATTTTACAAAAAGGTTTGGGGATTTAGCTCAGTCCAAAGAAAGCCCTGGGTTCAAATTCCTAATACGGGGGGAAGGGCATGACAACTTTACTAATAATAGAAACAAGTTTCATCAATCTCCTAGCAGAGTTCATATTTCTCTCTGATTCTTTTTCTTTTCTTTGCCTTTTGTTTTCATTGCGTTTATTTGTATTTATTGACAAAATCATATATATCTATGGTATTCAAACATGATGTCTTCACATATGTATACAATGTGGTATGGCTAAATCAATTTAGTTAGCATTTATTACCTCATGTACTGTTCTGTTGTTGGTAGTGAGGACCCTTAAAATCTACTCTCAGAAGTTTTTAACTCTACAATAATATATATATATAATTTTTTTTCTGGTACCAGGAATCGAACTTAGGGATCTTGTACTTACCAGGCAGGCACAGCACCACTGAGCTACATCCCTGGTCCTAATACATTAGTTTTTTTTATACTATAGCTATGGTTATAATAGATATCTCAAATTTATTCCTTCTATTTAAATGAAATTTTGATTAGCTTTGTTATATTTAATATTAAGCATTAATTTTTTTTGGTACTGGGATTCAAACTTGGGTCCTTGCGCTTGCAAGGTAGGCGACAGAACTTAAGCACTAATTATTAAAATCTCAATTTTACAAAATACATTTGAAGCAAGGCCATCAGCACCACATAAATAATTTTTCAGAAAAATGATACATATATTTTAAATTATTTTTTGAAAAACACTATCCATTACATTTATTTATTTATTTGGTATGGGGGATCAAACTCTAGATCTTGCACTCTCTAGGCAAGCAGGGCCCCACTAGCTACATCCCTGGCCCTCCATTACTTTGTATGATGGAGTGAAGAAAAGCCAATGTTTATCCTTTTATTCTTTTTTTCTGGTACCAGGAATATGAACTCAGGATCTTTCACTTGGGAGGCAGATGGCAGAACCTCTGAGCTAAATCCCCAGCCCACCACATGCTTTCATTCGTCTCATCTTACGTTTCCATTAATATTACCATTACACAAAAATGAGAATTTACTTTTTTTTGGCTTTGAGCCCTTCAGGTGATGTTACTAGTAAAAATCAAATAACACCTGCTATGTATTGGACATTAAATATCACAGTCTTAAAAAAAATCAGTCTTCTCTAAGACCAACTTTTCATTAAGGATAAGCACTGTTAGGAAAAAGGAAAAGGAGAGGCTGGTAGGAGCTCAGCAGGACCGGTTTATTTCACAACAAACCCGAGAGGGACTGTGTTGGCCCCAGAGATCAGACCAGCAGCTCTGTGAAGGCCCTGGGTAGGGTCACGGGGAGGGGGAGGCTCAGTGAGAGGGGTCGAGGCTCCCTGCCGAGAACAAGGCAATGGTCGCTCAAGGGCAGGCTGGGGAAAGCGCAGGAGCAAGGCTGCTCTCAATGCAGGGCTGATAATGTTCTGGATCCTCAGTCTCAGCCGTGCTGAGGGGTCTCTGATCAGGATGGTGGCGGTCAGATTCCTTCAAGCACAAACAAAATCAAATTATTATCATACCCCACAGTAGCTTTTAACTTGTTTCAAAGGCCCCCCACTTTTTAACTTTTTTTTTTTTTTGGTACTGGGGATCGAACTCAGGACTTTGCGCTTGCCAGGCAGGTGCGGTGCCACTGAGCTAAATCCCTGCTCCCCCGTTTTAAAACTTTTTATTTTGTGACAGGGTCTCACTTAAGTTTCCCAGGCTGGGTTTAAAGTTGTGAACCGCCTGCCCTTAGACTCCTGAGTAGCCGAGATTACAGTCATGTGTCATCGTATCCAGATAATACATATTTTTAAACCACCCCCCAAAAGCGTTAGTGAAAGTATTCCTTGGAGATAATTCTAATTTGTTCTGATAACACTGGCTGAAGCTTCTGGGTAAAAGCTACAAGTCTCTCGGACTGTTTAAAACAAAAGAAAATTTTTTTTGGTAGCAGGGATCAAACTTGGAACCTTCCGCTTGCAAGGCAGGTGGCAGAACCACTGAGCTTTAATCCCCGGCCCTGGACTGTTTAAATTTTGAATACAAAGTCTTGTTAAATATTATATAATTATTATTACCAAATTACATGGGTGGCCTGAAATCAGTGCAACATACGAAGCACACCTCCCCCCCCCAAAGAATGGCTAACAGAACATCTTGGCGTAGGTAACAAAGCAAAAAGAAAGCCTGCCTTGCGTTAGCATTAAGCCCAGCAAGCGGAAATGTGGCTGGGAGTTCCACGTCCAGGTGAGCTGCTGCTCTTCGATTATAAACCGAATTTTCTTCTGCCAAAGTCAACACAGCCCTTGGGCCACCACCTTGACCTTTCCTTACACGTTTCCCCAAACCGCTCAGGCGCTGCCTTTCCTCGCCTAGAGTTTGCAAAAAATACCAACGCCCGGCCTCTCTCGTTGAAGTTCTGCTTAATTGGTGCGAGGCGGAGCTCTTCTAGCAAGTACTTTCTAGGTAATCAGCCAATCCGTGTGCTATTTTCAGCTTTCTCGGCTTCATCACCCGCGGCCGCGAGGCTGTGTTGATTGTCAGGTCTTTGTGGCGAGCTGGTTCCGCACCGCAGTTTCCCAGCCCGCGGCGCCTAATCCACTTGCTTGCTTCTCCCTCCCTTCTCCCCCGGGTTTAGCACTGCTGGGAACGCCCGAGCAGAGACTGCGGCTCCCGCCTTCTTCCATTGAGAATTTATGCTTTATGTTTTCATTTTCTCTACATCTTGTAAAAAAAAAAAAAAAGCAACTTTTTATTTTTCAAGAAGCAAACGAAGTACTTAACTGCAGAAGAAAGTAAACGGCAGAGCGCTGGGTGCCGGGGGACGCCGGAGAATTCCGGAGCCAGCTGGAGCCAAGTGCGGGCTTTCTTCCCCGCGCCCGCCGGGCGGGGAGGCTATTGTGATGGTAAATTCACTTGCGCGGAAGAAAGGATCGATCATCAATCAAAAACGAGGTGGTGGTGTTTTTTTCAGTGTGGGCCGTTTTCTTCCTAGATTGCGAGACTTTTACTTTTCTCTAAAATCACAGAGAAAGTTCTGATGTGTGTATGGGTGAGGTCAAAGCGATCTTCGGAGTGACGTTGGAGGGATTTTACCGAGGCATAGGGGAAATGCACCGCCGGAGGGGCTCCCGGGGGAACCCAGAGTCCCCGGGGACGATTCGGGCTGGGAAAGGTCTCAGTGGAGGCCCCCTCCGTCCCAGCGTCCCGGGGAGAAGCTAGGAAGGAGGCTGCACCTCAGTCTGCACTCGTGTCCCCGCGCTGTCGCCTGGTCCCGAGCATCGCCAGCGCCCGCCCGCCATGGACCTGGAGAGATGAGGACACCCGAGCGCCCCGAGCCCCGCGCGCCCCCCGGGGCCAGGTACCTGTACCTGGAGGCCTTGCTGGAGGGAGGCGCTCCCTGGGGCTTTACCTTGAAAGGTGGCCTGGAGCACGGAGAACCGTTAATCATCTCCAAGGTGGGTTCCTCGTTTCCAGGTGATCCTTACTCAAGTTGAGGGCCCTTTCTTTCTCTCTTCCTCCCTTCCTCTCGTCCAGTTTTTAAACTTTTGCCGTATTTGCCCCCAAAATTCAAGGTATCTCTAAGGACTGCGTGAATCATAATTTGCTGTTTCAAACCTTTTTGATTAAACGGAAATATTTTGGATAGCTTGGTATTTGAAAGAGAAAGATGTTTCAGCTCGTTTATTCGGTGAAATCCAGGCTAAATGTGCTCCTTTGATGGATAATCTCTTTTTGTGAATGGGATAGTATAAAATCTGTTGCCCCATGGGCTTTTCTGTCAGCAGCATGGTAAGGTGGTGACTCAGTAAATGGTTATGAACAGAGAAACATCTGAACTTTCTTCCTTCCACTGCAAATATCTAGCTTTTGTTTTAAATTTGTTTGTAATTCCAGTAGTTGATTGCATAAATATCACTTGTTGCCTTTTATGCACACAGGGAGGAGGAGAGTTAAGTTGGCTTTCACGGGAACTCAAGAACAGAACATCACTGCCTTAGTATTTTTCTGTGCATGAAATGGTTTAGATCTTAGTCATCCTGCAACGTGCCTGTCTTCATTTATCTTTTGGTGTGATTACATTAAGTTATAACCCTGGAAGGAATCCTTACACAGCGGGGCTAGTGTTTCTCTTCAACTACAGAGACTAACACTGCATGTTCAAATATTTATTTTAAAATATCAGGGTGTCAACAGTCTGGTACAACAGAACTTTAGGGCCTTTCAGACATGTGCACTCCCCACAGAGCATTTGTCACTGAGGGAGAACATTCCTTTTTACTTCCGAGGATGGACAGAAGATAATGTGATTTTCCTTTGCGCTCTGTTGCCTGGTGAGGGTGTTCAGAGCCCACCAAAGCATGCACTTGTTTGTGGGGAGACTAGTGATTCTGACTGGGATGAACTGCTAGGTTCAGGACGTGCCCTGAGCTCTGATTTTTTTCCCCTCAAGTTTCCTAAGAAAAAACAGAAGTTAACGTGTGTATGTACATCAGTGAGGATGGATTTCAGCTGTAAAAAACTAAAAACCTAATTTATAGAGGCCCTAAGTAAATTGAGGCTTATTTTTCCTACACTACAAGAAACCTAGAAGTAGGATGTCCAGACAAGGAACAACAGCTCAGGGACCCCATCAGGGACCCCGCTTGGTTTTTTCCTCTGCATTCTGGTGATGTGGGCTTTTGTACTTCATGGTTGCATTATGGATGCTGTGCTTCCAGCATTGCATCTTCATTCCAGGCAGGTTTTGACTTTTTGTTTAGAGTGTTTTATTTCTCTCAGACTTTTGCTTACATCTCATTGATCAGAACTATGCCATACGCCTACCCTTAGACCAATTACTGGCAAAAGGCACGACTAGTTTAGACCAGTTAGGATTTCTCTCATGGGTTTTACAATAGAGGCCCATCCTTCACAGAGTCAAGGAATCAATGCCTGCTGTTTGAACAATTTGGGGTTCTTTTTATAGGAAGAAGGGGGAATGGACAGCTGGAGAATGTCTATGGAAAAGATATCTCTGCATTTTATTTTAAAATTTATTTGTAGCACAGAGAATTGAACTAGGGTCTTTACAATGAGCTACATCTCCAGTCCTTTTTAATATTTTCATATATAATTAATTAATTGTTATAATTTTTGTTTCTTTGAGACAGAGTCTTATTATGTAGTTAAGGCTGGCCTCAAACTCACCGCGATCCTCCTGCCTTAGCCTCCCAAGTGCTGCGATTACAGGGGTGCACCACCATGCCCAGGTTTATATTTTTGAGACAGTTTCACTATGTCTCAAAGCTGTCCTTGTTGGGCTCAAATTTGTGATCTTCCTGTCTCAGCCTCCCAGAGTCCTAGGATTGCAAGTGTGTGCCATCGTGCCCAGCTTTTCTACATTTTAAAACTGCACACACATTTGACCTTTCATGATAGCCTATTCTATATCTGGTACGGATTACGTTGCAGGTCCTCCAAAGCCCACGCATCATTCATACGTGGCACTTTTGAAAGGTGACTGTGTGGGTAAAGCGGCTGTGTGGCTAAGTGTGACATCAGGAGGTGCTGTCTGGTTAGAAGAGATGGGCACTGGAATGGCATCTCTCCCTCTCCGACTCCTCCCTTCTCTTACTTCCCAGGCACTCTGATGTGAACAGCTTTCTTCTACGGCAGGCCTTTCTACCATTGCTGCTTCTGCCCTGAGCCCGCTGACCACGGATTGAAAACATGAGCCAAAAATAATCCTCTCCACCTTCAAGTTGTGGGTGTCCAGTAAGGTACCCTAGCAGCAAGAAAGTGACTAAGGCAGCATCTGTTCACTAGACTGCCATTTGCTGTTAGAAAGACCCAGTGTTGGCTCTCCTGAGCCGCATGTCTCAACCTCCTCAGCACCTGCAGAACGGGTGTGTGCCCGCCTGCTTTGCTGGTCTGTGTAGCAAGCATTAAAGTGTTCAGTGCACTTGGCGTAGTGACTGCCCCACAGAAGGAACTTAAAAACGTCTCAGCCAAGATTACAGTTGTTTTTCATTATTTTAAGAGACAGATTTGACTGTACAGCGCCTGCCTGGCAAGCACAAGATCCTGAGTTCGATCCTCAGTACTGCAAAATGAAAACAAAAACAGAGTTTCTATCCCTCCCACGTAACAGTCTGGGCAGAAGCAGATTGAAAGATGGCTTCTTACATTGTCAGGGATCCAAATGCCTTCCGCATCCTTACCTCCCTCCCTACACATGTCCCGTTGGCATGGTCCAGGGTGGCTTTTGGTAACATCTGCTTTCTAGCCGATAAGAAGCCAGAGGAGGGGAGAGAGAGGGCAGTCTCTGCAAGGATATTATGTAGTGCAGCCTGCTCTGTTCAGTTTGGAGTCCAACTGTGACTATTTCCATTTCAATTAAAGGCAATAAAAATGAAATAAAATTTTAAAATTCAGATCCTTATTTGCACGGGCTGCATTTCCAGTGTCACATGCCTCTGGAGCTCCTGAGTGTCTCACATCTGCTCTGGCTAGCAAACCCTTCTTCCTCTGAGCTCTGCTACTTCTGTCTGAAGTTTTCCTGGTGTCATCTGGCTGAGTCTGGCGATCTCTCTTCTATACTCCCATTTTAGTCACTTTCCTCATCGAAATACCTAACATCCTCAATTTAAAGGAGAGACATAGTTTGGCTTATGGTTTTAGTCCCCAGGCTCCAGCCAGGAAGGCATGGTGGGAGGGTCTGGTGGATTTAAACTGCTTACCTCATGGCAGTCAGGAAGCAGAGTAAAGGAAGGAGCCAAGGAGAGAGATAAACCCTTCTAACTCATACCCACAGTTACTATCCTCTTCCAACAAGACCCCTCCCCAGCAAAAGCAAGTCAGCTAGTCTCCCACAGTCCAATCTTCCTCCAGAAGTCCTAGCTAAGAGTGTGTGAAGTTCTTGGGGGACATCTAGATATAAACTAAAAATTCCTGTGTCATGTACCTACCTACTATGTCAAATCATATTTTATTTATGTTGATTGACTTCTGCGAAGTCTGTGAGCCATTTTAGTCAAGGCTATTTTCTTTTTTTAAAAAAATCTTATTGAGTTTATTGGTACATTTTAGGTATACAGTACAGTTACATCAATGATTGGGATCTTGTACCTTTACATGACAGATCTTGGTTCTCATTTTTCCCCATCCCCCTGCCCTCCCTTCAGTCAGGGCTATTTTCTTTCCCTCTCTGCCACATCTAGTCCAGGGTCTGAGTGTGCATGTATTTGTTGAGGAAATGAAAGGACCTGGTTCTTTCTTATTCACTGTGCATTTCTAGAACCTAGCATGGTGCCTTTCATAAAATAGGTACCATTAATTTTATTGAATTTACTAGCAAAACTAAAATAGAGCAGTGGGGGGGCCGAGGATTTAGCTCAGTGGTTCCGGCGTAAGCACAAGGACCTGAGTTCGATCTCCGGTTAAAAATAAAATAAAATAGAGCAGTGGGCTTTTTAAGCTGGGAGGCAGAGTCTCAGGAGGGTGCCAGGCAGATCTGACATGGAGTAGGTATTAGTTGCCTCTAGCTGTTGTAACAAATTACCACAAATTTAGTGCCTTACAGCAATACAAGGTTACGATTTCGCAGTTTTGCTGATCAGAAGCTGGACCCAGGTCTCACTGGCTTAAGCTCCAACTGTCAACAGAGCTGTGCTCCTTTCTGAGGCACCAGGTGAGAGGCTTTTCTTATCCTGTCCTGCTTCTGGATGCTGGAAGTTATGGAATCCACTTTCCCTGGCACACAGCCTCCCTTCTCCCATCTTCAGAACCAGCCCCAGCTGGTTGGGTCCTTCTTACGTTGCATCACTGACCTCTACTTCTGCCCCCCTCTTCCATCTTTAAAGACCCTTGTGATTTTATTGGGCCTGCCACCATAATCCAGCATAGTCTTCCTATTTTAAAATCAGCTGATTAATAACCTTAATTCCATTAGCTACCTTAGTTCCCCTTTGCCATACAACAAATATATTCACAGGTTCCAAAAATTAGAACATGGATATTTTGGGAAACCCAGGGCCTTATTTTGCTGCGCCAGGAGGTTTGAACATTTGAGGCAATGACAAAGGCGCCCATTAGCTCACACACTGCTATCAAGTGTCCCCTCTTCTGAGGCAGGCTGAGCCCCCTCTGCAGGGGAAAGGAAGGGACAGCACACACCGAGTCACGTACATGAGAGGCACAGTTGTGACTGCCAGGGCATAGGTGACAAGCAGTATAGTGCATGAAGTATCATTTTTCTTTTGGTATAAATGAGGCAGGACAATGAATGGAGGAAAAGGAACCACAAGGGGAAGGCAATAAAAGAAATCATTTTCTAATTGGTTTCTTTCGGGTTTAATGGCCTTGAAAAGGAAAGGTGGGGTTGAGGAGAGAAAGCCTCTCATCTGTGAATTTCAAAAAGAAAGGCTGACTTTAAAGAAAAATAATGACCCTAAGTGAGTCCTCTGGCAATTCAATA